CTCTGCCTCCCGAGTGCTGGGATTAAAGGCGTGCGCCACCACCGCCCGGCTTCTTAGCCATATTTTAAAAGATGAAATACACTTAATATAGCACAACTTGGGAGTTGATGGGAGATTCTTGAACATGGGTTGTATACAGTTGTGAGTGGGTCAGACTGAGATAGAAACTCAACCAGCAGGCAAATAGATTTAGAATTAAACCTGTATTATGTGGAAGTCAAGTGAGATGTATACCACTGGTTCTTGTGTCTAAAAATTAAATATCAATAGCAAAAATCCCAGTGTTATTTGGTAGGAAATATGTTCTTAGTTTTGGCTGTAGTTCTAAAACAAAAGCTTTGGCACTGAAAGTAGCAGGACTTGATAAAAAGCCCTTTTCTGTTGATCTGAAAAATGTCTTCTAATGATGATGCTTGATATAGATCTAGATAGTAAGCTTTCAAATGGGATATTTTGTGACATGACTTAGTAGGGCCAGCAGTGACTATTCTGTTGGAAGTTCTCAAAGTTTGCAATAATATAACACTACATTATGGAAGGGTGGTTGTTCTCCAAATGTGGGTGGCCACATGGGTGTTATAATCACTAGTCTTGTAGGCCTCCTCTAAATAGTTCGTGTAGGATGGTATCCAATTTCCTATTTGCTTTAGATCTCATCAGATTTGGACAATATGAATGCCCCTAATAGTCCAGTTGGTGCATAGATCATGCTAAGCATAACTTTTTAGAATTGCATTTTGATATTTTACTCTGATTTTATATGATATGAGTTGTGAAAGTACTGAAAAACAATACTTTCCAGGCTTTTTTGCTAACTAGAATCCCTTATTGTAAGAATTTTGCAAATGTAGGGAAAAATATTCTAAAAAAGTTTACTTGTAGAGAGAGACATTTCAGATCTTGTCTCATTTCAGTATCTGGACATACTGAAAAGGTACACATTATGAGTAATATTCATGGGAATGTTTCACTATAATTCAATTTTATCTCAAGAGAAGAAAGACCTATTCTTTCTCATGGTAGATGTTTTATGTAGTCAGAAATTTTTCTGTGTCCCACTTGGTCCCTCAGCCACTCAGTCCCAAATAAACACACGGAGGCTTACATTAATTACAAATTCTCTGGCCTATGGATCAGGCTCATGCTAACTAGCTATTATAACTTACCCAATTCCTATTAATCTATGTGTTGCCACATGGCCATGGCATTACTGGTCTGCTGGCATCTTGTTGCTCCTTGAGTGGCAGGTTGGCATCTCCCCCAATTCTGCCCTATTTCTCTCTGCATCTCTGCTTGGATTTCCTGCCCACTTCTAATCTGCCTTGCCATAGGCCAAAGTAGCTATATTATTAGCCAATTAGAGCAACACATATTCACAGCATACAGAAAGACATCGCATAGCACTTTCCCTTTTCTGTCTAATCAAAAAGGAAGGTTTTCATTTTAACATAGTAAAATTACATAAAACAAAACAGGTATCAAGCAAGAATTACAGCTACAATATTTAGTCTATTGCTTGGCAAATTAAATAAAATACTCTATCATCTATCTTATCTTTGTGAATCTAAAGTTTCATATCTAATTTTTCTTTTATTGTAACCAAGAAAAACTATATCTAGTCTTCAACTCCATTGAAGACCCTAGAAGGATATAATATTATCTGAGTAGATAAGAAGTGCAATGTAAGCAACTTCCAAAATTCCAGAAATGACAGATCTGGCTGCCTGAACAGTCACCCAAAATTTCTCAGCACTGTTGGGGCATCCATTTTCAGCCTACAGGCCTAGAGTCTCTGGCAGACTTTTTAGTGAAGCAGCAAAGTTGAGAGATTGTCTCAACTATTGGCAAAGTCCATTGTACCTAGAAAACTTAACTAACATGACTATAAATTTGGCTATCATAGATGACTATTAATCTGTATTTCTTAATGATACATTACAATTTTAAATGAGTTGCATAAACAAAATATCTTAAACAAGAGTAGAAATATGTATACAGTAAAACAAAATTAACTTTAAATTTGTATCAATAAACTAAAATCCATAGCAATGTAAAACATTTCAAACAAGTTGTTGCTCTTTAAAAGTAGATTCAATAATCTACCATTTCATCCTATCATATCTATATCCCCTTTTCTTTAGAAAGAGATTGCATTTATAATCAACTCCCTTTATATAAAAAATATTTATACATAATATTTTGGGAATTTGGGTGTAGCATTTCATACTACTTCCTGCTGATTGGGAGCACTGACAATCTTAGAGGGATCCTGAGAAAATTTGAGATAATAGTCAAGTCCTGGGAAGACTGGCTGTAACTTTTGTTGATAGATACCATCTGTCAAGGGTCAAGAGGTCTCACTTGATCAAATCTGATCTATCTTAACCTGGAACAAATCCACAGCCTCTTGCTTCCTGTGGAAACAAAAACAGAGCCTCCTTTCTAAAGCAACACATCCTTATAACCAAATTTTGAAGTCAAGATACCTTTAAAATATATATATATACACATATATATACATATATATGTATATATACACACAAATATATATATATATATGTTTAACTTAGCAACCTTTACAAATATCTTTCGGCAGTTAGCTCATTAACACTCAAAAAATTTAAAGAAAACAAAATATGTATAATCCAGACTATATTTTCCATCTTTATGTGGCTTATTTTTTTTTATATTTCTATTGTCTCTTCAAAAACTTTATTTTTTATTTTTTTTTTATTTTTTATTTTTTATTTTTTATTTTTTTTTTTTTTTTTTTTTATTTTTTTTTTTGGTTTTCCGAGACAGGGTTTCTCTGTGTAGCTCTGCGCCTTTCCTGGAACTCACTCGGTAGCCCAGGCTGGCCTAAAACTCACAGCAATCCGCCTGCCTCTGCCTCCCGAGTGCTGGGATTAAAGGCGTGCGCCACCACCGCCCGGCAAAAACTTTATTTTTTAAAACTATTACTTTATATAACTGCCTATATTCCTTTTCCTCTCTTCCAGGCCTACATACATTTTTATACACACTGTAAGCCATTTAAAGGTTTTTTTTTTTAAATCTATATCTGTCCTATTGTATATTTGTAATCCTTTCCTGACCAGGAGAGATTTTAAACTGCTAAGCTGTGCAGTGGATTTGGCTGTTGACTCCACCCTGTTCAGTTTCCCAACATGATGGAGGTATGTTTACTGCCAGCTCTGGGAGCCATGCTCACTGACAACTCGGAAGCAGTGGGTCTATGCCTCCATCAAGCAGCATGTAGCCTAGAAACCTTTTTTTTGTCTGTACTAGCAAAAGCTAAATCCACCACTCAGTATGCTGCACATCTTGGAGACACAACTGCATATTGTGGCAGGAATCTGCCATGCTGTGCTCCAGCTCAAATGCCATAGCGTTTCTGTGCCTTGGCCCACATGAGAGACAAACCAGGAAGCTGCTCCTGGCTCCATTTTAGAACCCCTTTTTAAAGCTTTCTCAGGTTTTAGGTGGAAATTCTTGCCCCATGTTAGAATGCCAGATGTAGTCAGAAGTTTTCCTGTGTCCCACCAGTCCCATAGCCACTCGGTCCCAAGTAAACACACAGGCTTATATTAATTATAAACTGTATGGCCTATGGCTCAGGCTTCTTGCTAACTAGCTCTTATAACTTAACCCATTCCTAGTAATCTACGTGTTGTCATATGGCCATGGCATTACCAGTCTGCTGGCGTCTTGTTGCTCCTTGGGCAGTGGGCTGGCATCTCCCCTGACTCTGCCCTTCTCTCTATATCTCTGCTTGGATTCCCCACCTGCCTCTAAGCTGCCTTCCATAGGCCAAAGTAGCTTATTTATTAGCCAGCTGGAGCAACACACATTCACAGCATGAAGACATCCCACAGCACTTTATATTTCATAATAGATTAGCCCTAAAATATCCAGGGAAAGCCTAGTATAGTGGTGCACACCTTGAATCCCAGCAGAGGCAGGCAGATCTCTTGAGTGGCAAGGTCATTCTTGCCAACATAGAGGGTTCCAGGCCAAACAAAGCTACATAATGTGTCCCTCTTTCCCTCTTCTTTTTCTCTCCCCTTCTTCCCTCCTTTCTCCCTCCCCTTCCTTCCTGGCCACCACATTAGGCCTCTGCCCACCCCCTCCTTGCCATGATGGACTGAATCTTTTGAAATCACAAGCAAAATAAATTTTACTCCATGTAGTTGTTAGTTATTTTGTCACAGTGACAAAAGGTAGGATGACACAGAGCTGCTCCTGTTCCTATTGATACAAACCCTGACTTTTGATGAAGGGAACCTTGTCACTGAGTTAAGAGACTACTTAAAGGCTAGGAATGTAGGCCCTGCTTTAAAAAAAAAAAAAAGGGAACAAAATAAAGGGCATGCCTGGAATGCTGTCACCTGACTCTTACACATACCTGGGCACACAGCCATGTTGTCTCTATATAGGCTTCTGTGCAGGAATTTAAAAGAACCCCACATGCACTTTCTCTTTTAGAAGCAATTTTATTTTTGATTTTTTTTTCATTGTTTTTATAATGCGGTGGTGTGAATAGAACCCATGGCTTTGTGCATGCTAGGCAAGCGCTCTGCCAACTGAGCAGTATCCCCTTGTTTTCATTCACAAAAATCAAGTCCTATTCTAACTCTGGAAGTTCACTGAGATGTATAGACTTTGGGTATCACTATCCTCACTGGGTGATGTTTCTTTTTATGTACAAGTCCTTCTACAATAAAGTTTTCAATATTAAAACAAAATTAGGTCCTTTAGAGAATGTGGGTTGAAGCTTGTGGGAACTTGCGGACTCTAGACTGACAGCTGTAGAGCCTGCATGGGACCAGACTAGGCCCTCGGCATACAGGAGACAGTTGTGTAGCTTGGTCTGTTCAAGGGGCCCCCTGGCAGTGGGATCAGGATCTAGTCCTGGTGCATGACCTGGCTTTTTGGAGCCCATTCCTGATGGTGGGATGCCTTGCTCAGCCTTGATGCAGTGGGGAGGGGCTTGGTCCTGCCTCAACTGAATGGATTTGGCTTTGCTGACACCCCATGGGAGGCCTTACCTTGTCAGAGAAGGGAATGGGGGTGGGAAGGCTGGGGGTAGTGGGAGGAGGGATGAGAGGGGGATTTGTGGTTGGTATGAAAAATGAATAAAAAAAATGTGGGTTGACTCATGAATCAAACCCATGGGAGGCACAACTCTGGCCCCTGACTTGTGGTTCACTTTTGCTCTAGAAGTCAGTGCACAGCACCACCACAGCAGTCATCCTCTGCCTTCTAAGTTGTAGGTAGAGGAAATTCCTCTACTCTTGATGAAAATAAAAAAACCATTTAGTGGATTTAAAGCAGTTTCTTTTATATTTTTAAGGCCTTGGGCGATGGGAAAGATGTTTCCTCTCCAGTCTCACTTAAATATTTTTGTTTTATGTAGGGAAGCTGAATGCTCAGCCAAGATCTCCAAAAGTGGGAGACTGCCACCCTCTAGCTGAGTGAACAGAGGTTGTAATTCTCCAAAATGTGTCATTTCCTTTTTTCTGTGTTGCTTTCCAGGCTGGAATCCTGTGACCTGAATGTATACCGTTGTCTAAAACTAGCAGAGGCTCTCAAGAGCAACAAGAGCCTGGTATTTCTGAATCTGTCCACCAACAATCTGTCAAACGACGGAGTGAAGTCATTGTGTCAGACTTTAGAAAACCCCAACTGTCACCTAGAGAGACTGTCGTGAGTTGGTTTGCTTATAACCTATGAACTGGATAGGAATATGTGGCTTAACGTTAGCTGGCATGTTTATCATTCCTGAATGATCTTCAGAGTTCTTCCTGTACTCTTTTCTCTTTTCTTTTGATCCTGGGATTAAACCCAGAATCTTGAACATGGTGAGCATGCAATACTAAGTTAGATGAGCAGATGTTCCCGTCTTCCATGTTTGTCTCTCTGTCTCTGTCTCTGTCTCTGTCTCTGTCTCTGTCTCTCTCCCTCTCTCTCTCTCTCTCTGTCTCTCTCTGTCTCTCTCTCTGTCTCTCTCTCTGTCTCTCTCTCTGTCTCTCTCTCTGTCTCTCTGTCTCTCTCTCTGTCTGTCTCTCTGTCTGTCTCTCTGTCTGTCTCTCTGTCTGTCTCTCTGTCTGTCTCTCTGTCTGTCTCTCTGTCTCTCTCTGTTCCTCTCTCTGTTTCTCTCTTTGTCTCTCTCTCTTTCTCTCTGTCTGTGTGTGTATGTGTGTGCCTATATGTATGTGTTACATGGGGAGGCATTTTCAATACTTGTGTTTGCATAGGTACTATATATAAATTTGTGTGTGTGTGTGTGTGTGTGTGTGTGTGTGTGTGTGTAGGTCAACTCGGATGATACCCAAGAGGTCAGTCAGCCTTGGGTATTGTTCCTTGGGAGTCATCTACCTTATTTTTTGAGACAATCTTTCATTAGCCTGGAACTTACCAAATAGGATAGTCTTGCTGGCCAGCACAGGCCCCAGGGATCTGCCCATCTCCACCCTCCCTGAACTGGGTTTATAACTACATGCTAACATACTCGGCTGTTAACATGGTGCTGATGATCAGGGATCCTCATGCTTGTTTGGCAGAAACTTCCCAACTGAGCTATTTCTCCAGCCCCACCTTTTCATGTTTAACTTGGATTTTTAAATTATTTTTCTTTTTACTTTATGTTCATACTCTTCTAGATTTCTCCAGTTTTGTTTCATTCTCTCCTGTACCTAGATACAATGGAATTCACAATTTAAATGTCTGTTGAGGATAATTCTACAGGAAAAGTGAACAGTATAAGCATCAGGTAATTTCCTCCCGAAGTAAGGCAAAATGTTTGGAAACTGATGAATCTGTCTTTTCTCATCTGTTTTCCCTTCAGCTTAGCAAGCTGTGGCATCACAAAAGCTGTGTGTGAGGCTCTTTCCTTGGCTATCACCAAAAGCAAGAGACTGACACACTTATGTTTGGCAGACAACATCTTGGAAGATGAAGGGATAGAGCTTCTCAGTGATGCCTTGAGATATCCACAGTGTACTCTCCAGAGCCTTGTGTGAGTGTTTGCTGCCACCTTCCCAATACAACATAGTTTATAATGAATGCATATACATATGTGTTTACATATGCATATGCATATATACACTATTAAAATAAAATCTTTAAGAACACAACTTTTAAATGACTTTGAGCATGTTTGCAGATATGTAGGGCTTTTCATATTCTAGGAATTGCTTCTTCAAAGGCTCCAGTTTCTTCTAGGTATTTTCTATTAAAAATGTCATACTTGATTATTATCACGTATGATTACTTTTACATACTACAGATAATTTTCCTAACTTGTTTCTTTACTTCTAACTTCCATTATGATAATTTACAAATTATTAAATTTTGAAATAGTTTTTAAGAGATGGTCTAGTGTTGCTTGGGCTAGTGTTGAACTTGCTATGTAATCTAGGCTAGTCCTGAATTTGGCAATTGTCCTGTTTCAGCCTCCCAAGTGCTGGGATTATAGGCATGTACTACCTTAACCCAGCCCAGATGTTTAATTTTTTTTGCAAGTCATTCTGCCTCATGAATCCTGACATTTTTATCATAACTAGAAATACCTTTTTGAAATGTAATTTTGTCATCCCATATTTTTTTTTACTTTTTAGCATTTACATGTTAAATTATTCCAATTTATTCTGAATTTAATATTTACATTTTAAGTTTTTCTAAATTAATTTTGTTGCAATGGTTATACTTAATTTATCCCCATATATAAGGCATGTCATACCAAAATTATTAATGGTACAACATGTCTTTTGATTAAAAATGCCACTAGTAGTGGCTATGGAGCCCCCATGGGACTGGACTAGGCCCTCTGGATATGGAAGATGGTTGTTTGGCTTGAACTGTTTGGGGGGCACCCAGGCAGGGGGATCAGGATCCATCCCTGGTGCATGGGCAGACTTGTGGGAATCCGGTGCCTGTGTTATGATGCCTTGCGCAGCCTTGGTGCAGTGGGAATGGGCTTGGACCTGCCTAGGCTGGGTGTGCTGGGCTCTGCTGACTCCCCTTGGGAGACCTTGATTTGGGGGATGTGGGAATGTGGGATGGCTTGGGAGAGAGGGCTGGGGGGTGGGAGGAAGGAGGAGGTGGGATCTGTGGGTAGTATGTAGAGTGAGTAGAAAATTTCTTAATAAAGAAAAATGAAAAACAATTTAAATGCCACTAGTAAATACAAAGAAAGAATACTTAGCTTATTCCTATTGCACTCTCATAACTGCCTCTCTAATCCATGTAACTACTTCTGCAAGAGTTCTGTGTGCTTTTTTAGGAAAATAGATCACCATTTGATTAATACTATGAAAAGCTGAGCCAATTGTGGTGATTCATACCTGTAATCTTAGAACTAGGGAGACTGAGCAGGAGAATTACTGAGTTTCAAACCCAGGCTGCACTACAATGAGTAGGCCAGCTCTGCTGCAGAGTTGAGACCCTGTTTCTGAAAACTGGAAACAGAGACAATCATTGGGATTGGCTCTGAAGAACATAAACCCAGTTTGTAACAGTTTGATGCAGACATGAGTGCCTCATGTGGGACAGGCTGGCAAAAAGAGGTCGGATCTGAGGAGTATTGAGCAGATATGGGACCTTTTCTGGGTGGTTGATACTGACTTCTTCTTTCCTCATACTGTGCTTCCCTGTAGGTTGAGGTGTTGCTGTGTGACTTCGGTTGGTAGTAAGTTTCTCTCCGATGCTCTTCTGAACAACAGGAGTTTGATACATCTGGACCTGGGATCAAACAAGCTTCAGGACAGTGGGATCAAGCTTTTGTGTCACATCCTTCAGCAGCCAACCTGCACTATTCAGGAGTTGGAGTAGGTTTTCTGTGACTCTATTGTTGTGTGCTTTTAACTAGGAGCTGTCTTGGAGGGCAGGAAAAAGATGAAAGGAAGAACTGAGTGATATATGAATATCAGAGAAAGAGGATAGACCTGACTTTTCTCTAATTCTGTTGGAGATGAGCTAAAGAAGCCTGTTTGATTGAAACCAAAAGTGAAACCCACAGTTACTATGGCCCCCATGATCTGCTTCCCTTGGGTAAAGGGTCCATTGGCATCAGACTGAATAGGAGCCATTTTAGTTTTGATTGTGCCCTAGTAGATCTGTTTATCAGCTATATCTACAAAGCTAAAATTTTTCTACTAGTTTCCTTTCAAGTTTGTTTTCAAAAGGTATTTAATTTTTTAAATTATCATTTTATGGTTTTATATGTATGGATGTTTTGCCTGCATAAATATGTGTGTACTATATGCATGCCTGGTACCCACAAAAGCCAGAAGGTTCTAGATTCCCTGGGACTGGAGTCAAAGACAGTTGTGAGTCTCCATTCGGATGCTGGTAATTGAACCAGGTCCTTTAGAAGAGCAGCCTGTGCTTTTAACAACTGAACCATCTTTCCATCCCTCAGGTTATATTTAAAGTAATTTTCCTGTTAGGTCAGTATCCAAAGAAAATAGAAGGGGATATTTTTAAATTTTTTTCTTGAGATTATAATTTATATATTCTTTTTAATCCTACATTAACTTTTTAAGTTAAAATTTTAGATTCCCATACAAAGTAATGGGGTTGCCTTGATATGTATGTACCATTCTATTCTGTTTTCATTTGTTTCCTTGCCCCCATTGACCTCCCAAATGCCCTATCCTTCTCTAGTTAGTTTCCTTGCCTCCCCTGGTTAGTCTCTGCCTTCTGGTTCCTTTCTGACCTCTCCTAAAATCTCTACCTCCCTTCTCATGAGGCCCTTTCCTGTTAACTAAAATAAAAAACTGCCTGAAAAGTTTTGAGACAGGGTCTCACTGTGTAGCCAGGCTATCTTAAAAGTCACCATCTTTTCCTTCTGTTTCTTGAGCACTGGATACAGGGAGATAACCACTTCATTGCCCTAAAGTCCAGTTTTACACAGCCATTTTCATTCCTAAGTTCTTTTTGTGAGCAAGTATGCAAGCACTTGCATGGCGTGTGTGTGTGTGTGTGTGTGTGTGTGTGTGTGTGTGTGTGTGTGTGTGTTTTATGACTGAGATTTCCTTTTTTCTTGGTACTATTCCAGAAATCCTTAACTACTTTAAATCATTCCATAAATTACTTTAATGACTTGGGATATTTAATACTTCATCATGTAAATATTAAGTGCAAAGTAAAATAGGACTGAGGTGTCAGCAATCTCAGCCTACTTCCCTAGGAGATCTTCTCATGATTAAGTTCTTAGACATTTAAATCCAGCATTTATTTTCATTTTATGTGTATGGATGTTTTGCCTGCATGTATGTTTGTGTTCCACATGTATGCCCGGCATCCATGAACAATAAGAGAGGATGTTTGAGCCCTAGAACTGGAGTTAGACAACTGTGAGCATCCATGTGGGTGCCAGAAAATGAACCCAGGTCCTCTGGAAGAGCAAACAGTGCTCTTAATCACGGAGCCATCTTTTAGCCCCATAAACCCAGCATTTCTTAAACTATTAGCTTAAGCTTCTTGACATACCCAGAAGAATTGTCCTAACTGAACTGAATAATGAAAACTGTTATAGTGTGAAATTGGAAGGTTCCCACAAAAAAGTATTTTATTTAACATTTTTCCATTTGTTTTACATACTGGCCTTAGTCTGCCCCTCCTCCTTTCTCTCCCCTCTCCCCATCTACTGCTCCCCCATCTCCATTCAGAAAGGGGCAGGCCTCCCATGGGCATATCAAGTTGAGGTAGGACCTAGCTCCTCTCCCTGCATGAAGGCTGGGCAAGCATGGGGAACAGGTTCCCAAAAACCAGCTAAATGCCAGCAACTGGTCCTGATCTCACTGCTAGGAACCTTACAAACAGACCAAGCTACACAACTGTCACACATATGCCCAGATCAGTCCCATGCAGGCTCCTTAACTGTTGCTCCAGAGTCCATGAGCTCCTACAAGCTCAAGTCAGCTGTCTCTGTGGGTTCTCCCCATCATGATCCCCCTGGCTCAGACAATCTCTCCTTTTTGTCAGCAAGACTCTCAGAGCTCAGCCCAGTGCTTGCCTGTGGATTTCTACATCTGCTTCCATCAGTTACTCGATAAGAGTATCTGATGACAATTAGGGTAGTCACCAATCTGATTACAGTGGATGGCCAGTTCAGACACCCTCTCCACTATTGCTAGGTGTCTTAGCTGGGTTTATCCTTGTGGATTTCTGGGGGTTTCTCTGGCACCAGGGTTCTCCCTAATCCCAAAATGCCCTCATCAAGATGTCTTTTTCGTTATTCTCCCCTTCTGTTCCACACCCCCGACCCACTTCCCACACCCAGCTGGCCCAAACTGCTCCCTCAGGTTCCCATCCTTCCATGCCCCTGCTCTTGCCCCTAATTTCCCCAGGAGATCTCTTCTATTTCTCTTTCCTACCCAGGGAAATCCATGCCTCCCTCTTTGGGCCTTACTTGTTGTCTAGCCCCTCTGGTGCTGTGGATTGTAGGTTGGTTATCCTATACCTTACTCCTAATATCCATCTATGAGTGAGTATATACCATGTTTGTGTCTTTCTGGGTCTGGGTTACCTCACTCAGAATGATGTTTTCTATTTCCATCCATTTGCCTGCAAATTTTATGAGGTCATAGTTTTTGTTTTGTTTGTTTTGTTGTTGTGTTACAGCTGAGTAATACTCCATTGTGAAAATGTACTGTATTTTCCTTATCCATCCTTAAGTTTAGGGGCATTTAGGTTGTTTCCAGCTTCTGGCTTTTACAAATAATGCTGCTGTGAACATAGTTCAGCAACAGTCCTTGTGGTATGATTGAGCATCCTTTGTGTATATGCCCAAGAGTGATATTGCTGGGTCTTGAGGTAGACTGATTCCCAGTTTTCTGAGAAACCACCATACTGATTTCCAAAGTGGCTGTACAAGTTTTCACTCCCACCAGCAATGGAAGAGTGTTCCTCACATCCTCTCCAACATAAGCTGTCATCAGTGTTTTTGATCCTAGCCATTCTGACAGGTATAAGATGGTATCTCAGAGTCGTTCTGATGTGCATTTCCATGATGACTAAGGATTCTTCTATTGAGAATTCTGTTTAAATCTGTACCCCATTTTTTAAAATTGGATTATTTTACATTTTGATGTCTAGTTTCTTGAGTTCTTTATATATTTGGAGATCAGACCTCTGTCAGATGTGGGGTTGGTGAAGATCTTTTCCTATTCTATAGGCTGCCATTTTGTCTTACTGACAGTGTCCTTTGCCTTAGAGAAGCTTTTCAGTTTCAGGAGGTCCCATTTATTGTTGTTCTCAGTGTCTGTGCTACTGGTGTTATATTCAGGAAGTAGTTTTCTGTACCAATGCATTCAAGGACACTTCCCACTTTCTCTTCTGTCAGGTTCAATGTAACTGTATTTATGTTGAGGTCTTTGTTCCACTTAAACTTGAGTTTTGTGCAGGGCGATAGGTATGAATCTATTTGAATTCTTCTCCATGTTGACATCCAGTTATGCCAGCACCTTTGTTGAAGATGCTTTATTTTTTTCATTACACAGTTTGGGGTTGTCAAAAATTAGGTGTTCATAGGTGTATAGATTTATGTCAGGGTCTTTGATTCGATTCCATTGATTCACGTGTCTGTTTTTAATGTCAATACCAAGCTGTTTTTATTACTGTGGCTCTATAGTAGAGCTATATAAGTCAGGGATGGTGATACCACAGGAAGTTCCTTTATTGTACAGGACTGTTTTAGCTATCCTGGGTTTTTTGTTTTTCCATATGAAGTTGAGTATTGTTCTTTCCAGGTCTGTGAAGAATTGTGTTGGGATTTTTATGGAGATTGCATTGAATCTGTAGATAGCTTTTGGTAAGACTGCCATTTTTACTATGTTAATCCTACCTATCCAAGAGCATGGGAGATCATTCCATTTTCTGATACCTTCAATTTCTTTCTTCAAAGACTTAAAGTTCTTGTCATGCAGGTCTTTCACTTGTTTGGTTAGTTACCGCAAGATATTTTGTATTTGTGGCTATTGTAAAGGGTGATGTTTCTCTGATTTCTTTCTCAACCCATTTATCATTTGTATATAGGAGGAATAGTGATTTTTTGAGTTAATTTTGTATCCTACCACATTACTGAAGGTGTTTATCAGCTGTAGGAGTTCCCTGATAGAATTTTTGGGATCACTTATGTATACTATCATATCATCTGCAAATAGTGAAGGTTTGATTTCTTCCTTTCCAATTTGTATCCCTTGATCTCCTTTTGTTTTATTGTTCTAGCTAGAACTCAAGTATTATACTGAATAGATATGGAGAAAGTGGACAGCCTTGTCTTGTTCATGATTTTAGTGGAATCACCAAGTTTCTCTGCATTTAATTTGATATTGGATATCAGCTTGTTGTATATGCTTTTATTATGTGTAGGGATGTAGGATTTTGTTAAAGGCTTTTCCAGCATCTAATGAGATGATCATGTGGTTTTTTTTTCTTTTGGTTTGTTTATATAGTGGGTTACATTGATTTTTATATGTTGAACCATCCCTGCATCTCTGGGATGAAGCCTACCTGAACATGGTGGATGATTTTTTTTGTGTGTTCTTGGATTCAGTTTGCCAGTATTTTGAGTATTTTTGAATCAACGTTCATAATTCTCTTTCTTTGTTGCATCCTTGTGTGGTTTGGGTATCAGGGTAACTGTGACCCCATAAAAAGTATTTGGCAATGTTCCTTCTGTTTCTATTGTATAAAACAATTTGGGGAGTATTGGTATTACCTATTCTTTGAAATTCTGGTAGAATTCTGCACTGAAACTATCTGGCCCTGGGGGGGGGGGTTGGGGGGGACTTTTAATGTCTGCTTCTATTTCTGTAGGGGCAATAGGTCTATTTCAATTGGTTTTCTGGTCTTGATTTAGTTTTGGTATGTGGTACCTATCAAAAAATTGTCGATTTCTCTTAGATTTTCCAATTTTGTGGAGTATATGGTTTTGAAGTTTGACCTAATGACTCTCTGGATTTCCTCAGTGGCTATTATGTCTACCTTTTCATTTCTAATTCTAATTTGGATATTCTTTCCCTGCCTTTTAGTTAGTTTGGATAAGGGTTTATCTATCTTGTTGACTTTTCTCAAAGAACTCTGTTTCATTGATTCTTTGTATTGTTTTCTTTGTTTTTATTTTGTGGATGTCAGTCCTGAGTTTATTTCTTGCTATCTACTCCCCCTGAGTTTACTTTTTGTTCTAGAGTTTTCAGGAGTGCTGTTAGAGATTTCTCCAAATTCTTGATGTAGGCATTTAGTGCTATGAACTTTCCCCTTAGCACTGCTTCCATGGTGTTCTGTAAGTTTGGGTATGTTGAGCATTTATTTTCATTGAAATCTAAGATGTCTTTATTTCTTCCTTGACCCAGTGGTTATTCAGTTGACCATTTTTCAGTTTCCATGAGTTTATAGGCTTTCTGGAGTAGGTGTTGTTGTTGAACTAACTTTAACCCATGGTGATCCTATAAAACAGAGTTTTTCCAATATTTTTGTGTCTGTTGAGATTTGCTTTGTGTCTGAATATGTGGGGGGGAGGGAAGGGGGGAGGGAGAGGAGAGAGGGAGAGGGGGAGGGAGAGAGAAGCAGCAGTAATAGTAGATTGAACCTAGGGGCTTTACAATTGACCTATTATACCCCAAGACCTCCAAACTTATTTCAAAAACATAAACTGAAGTCCTACAGACGTAAAGACTTCTTGAGAAAGTTTATAAATGTTTTAAAAATTACTAATGCCTGGAGAGATGTCTCAAAGTTTAAGAACACTGGCCACTCTGATAGAGGACCAGAGTTTAAAGCCAGCACTCCCACTGGAGTTCACAACTGTCCATACTCCAGTACTGGGAGGATCCAGCAGTTTTCTGGATTCCCTGAATACAGGGAGTGCATATTGTACACATGCATGTAGGCAAAACACCAATACATATAAAAATCTTTTAAAATTGGGGAAAATTTTTAAAAATGGAGAAAAATTAACATACTATTGACTTTGGAAGCATTGTTTATGGGAGACAACTGTTCACACACTGGTTTCTTCTGCTCATTAAGAAATTCCTTCTGTTTCTACTGGTAATTCAGCCATCTCAGGTGTGTCCTGGGTTGTATTAATACATGGAAAAAAGGTTTAACTGCCTGGACAACTCTCCTAGAAGAACTTAATTCAGCTTTGCTGCTCAATAACTCTTTCCTCCTTTAATGTATTTGTAGGCTGATGGGCTGTATTCTCACCAGTGACGGTTGTCTGGATCTGGCTCCTGTTATTGTGAATAACCCAAACCTGTGGAGCCTAGACCTTGGGAACAACAACTTAGAGGATGCTGGCCTGCATATTTTGTGTGAAGCTTTAAAAGATCCAAACTGCCACATTCAGAGGCTAGGGTAAGTTCAGTTTTCCATGATAAAAATGAGGTCTTGTTGGTGAAGATAAAGGTGATTTTGTGAGGGAGTGAAAAGTAAATGGTGCTAGAATGTAAGTTACTCTGAGAAATAAGGATCTGAATTTCAAATATATGGGCCTGTATTTTGTATGTACTTTGCTATAGATCTTCATTTCACCCTTTTGTTTTTCTCAGTACCTCAGATAGGTAAATATTAAATAGTACCTGATTTGGGTCTTCCATTGTTCAGATATCCCAATTGTCCTTGAATTACTTTTTCATATTAAACTGAAGACTTTTTCTGTAGAAGGCAAAGTTCTTAAGGAGCTTGTAATATCTCATCCTTTCTATATGCTTGTGTTCTTTCAATTCCAGATTGTTCAATATCTTAGTTGACATTGAGATTTGCTTCACTTCTTTGATCTGAGTCAAAGATTATGCTTTATGGGCAGGAAACAGAAATGCCAAATACTTAAATCTCAAACACAAATTTGAAGCATTGGGGTCTTTAATTGAATTTTAAAAAATCAAGTTGGAGGGCTAGTGAACTGGCTCAGTGTGTAAGACACCTGCTGCCAAGGACCTGAGTTCAATTGTTAGAACCCACAGAACCCAAGCTGTAGGAAAGAAACAATTCTTAAAAGTTTTCCTCTGACCACCACACATGGTCTGAGCACTGTAGCATGCACACACCTCCACCCATGCACACATACACAATACATGTTTAAAATGACTAGCAGTAGGAGCCAATCTAGTGTTTTTCTATACATACTCTTTTTTCAAGCAGGATTTTAATGATTTTTTTCTCTCATCCCTGCTTGTCAGGGACAGCTTGTCCATAAGTCAGGCTTTCACTCAGTAGTGCACTGTGATGAATACAACTTTGCAGTGAGCTCTGGTACCTGCTAAAATGAGTCTTCCTGTCTTTCTCTTCAAGATAATTTTGGCTTTCATTCTCTCTTGGTACTTTCCAAATTTTTATATTAGAACCAAATCCTTATATTTTTGGAGCTAAAATCAACTTGGCTAAGATTTATTTAAAATACACATTTCAACATCTCTGCTTATAAAAGATTAGGTTCTAATTTCTTATGCAGTTCTCATTAAATTTTGTTTAGATTACACTAATTTCATAAAATTAGCTAAAAATATTTATCCCTTTTGTTTCTTGAGAAATTTTCTAAGACTACAATTCTTTGAATTTAATAAAATTTCTGGCAAAACTAATTTTATGTTTACATTATTTTGGTTCTAGATCTAAATTTAAAAATTTATGTTTGGATTTTCAGTAGTGAGTTCTTTTTGATATATTTTATCCATTTTACCTAACTTGTGTAACTTATTGGCAAATTTTCAATATTTTATCTGCTAAAATTCTAAATCTATACTGATATTTTTCTCTAATACTGGCAATTTGATCTTTTGTATTTTGTTTCATTCTTTTTCAAAGAATGTAACATTGATGATACTTCTTTCATCTTTAGATCTATAACACCTTCCCATAGGTTTATTTTACCATTACTTTTCAAAATTCTTGAGTGGGGTACTGATCATACATTTTGCTTTTCTTTCCTATCACAGGTATATAAGGCTACAGTTTTCCCTCAAATTACTGCATTAGCTTTTTCCTGCACAATTATTTTATACACAGTGTGGGATTTTTGCTTTGAGACAGGATCTCACTATGTAGTCTTGGCTGGCCTGAAATTTACTATAACCCACCTTCCATTGCCATTCCTAGTGTTGTGGTTATAGGAGTGTACCTAGGAACCTAATTGTAAAGTGACTGTAAGAGAATGAATTACTGATAGCTCTGTCTCAGTGTTTTCTGTCTTAAGGTGTACTTGCTGTGATTCCTGTACCTTGTGTTATAATCAGTCTGTCTTTTTCCCACATTGCATTTTGCTTTTAATGTAATCATACTAGTGTGATTTCCATGTGGGCAGCAACTTTGAAACAGTTTTATATGCTCAGCACTTAATATAACCATGAAATTATTCTATGACCAGGTAAACAGGAGGTGAAAGTGAAATTCAAATAAGTTGGTTGAGAGACTGTCATGTGCAGAAGGTTGTGTTTCAGTTATTTTGTCAATTCCTTCATTATTATTGGCTTGAGTAAGGGTTCTTGATTAGATGGTTGGTTGATCTAATTATCTCTCTTCTGATCTGGAGGCAGGGGAGTGAGTTTGAAATGTATGGTAAAAAAATTAAGGGCCAGGCTGTGGTGGTGCACACCTTTAATCCCAGCACTCAGGAGGCAGAGGTAGACATATCTGAGTTCAAGGCCAGCTTGGTCTACAAAGCAAGTTCCAAGACAGGCTCCAAAGTTACACAGAGAAACCCTGTCTAGAAAAACCAAAACCCAAACCAAAAAAACAAAAAAAATATTATGGCTATCCTTACAAAAGGTGTAATTTCTTTGTGTGTGTGTGTGTGTGTGTGTGTGTGTGTGTGTGTGTGTGTGTGTGTTACAAGTGCTTGGAGACCAATGGAAGACATCAACCTCTACCTTATTTCCTAGAGACAGTCTCTCACTGAAGCTGGAGCTAGGCTAGCAGCTAGTGAACAGCCCCAGAAATCTTCCTGTCTCTATGCTTTATAGTCCTGGAGTTACATGCTTGGCTTTTTTTTATGTGAGTTCTGGAGATTAGAAATAGGATCCCAATGCTTGCATAGCAAGAATTATTATCCACCATCCTGGTTGGTGGTGTTTTCATTTGTGTATTTTATTAACTTGGCACAAGCTAGAATTATCTGTAAAGAGGAACCTCTACTGAGAAAATGGTCTCCATCAGATAGGCCTATAGGCAAGTTTGTTGGGCATTTTCATACACACACACACACACACACACACACACACATATACACATTTATTTATACATATAATTTACTTGTATGTGCATTTGTGTTTTGCCTGCATGTGTGCATGTTGTGAGGATGTTGGATCTCTTAGAATTGGAGTTATAGACAATTGTAGCATATGGGTGCTGGGAATTGAACCCTGGGTCCTCTGGAAGAGCAGCCAGTGCTCTTAACCACTGAATCTTATTTTTTTTTATTAATGATTGATATTGGAGGGCTCAACCTATTGTGGGTGGTACCATCCCTGGACACGTGACCCTGGCTTGTACAGAAAAGCAAGCAAGCTATGGAGAGCAAGCTGGTAGGCAGCATTCTTCCACAGCTTCTGCTTTGTTCAGTTCCTGCCCCATTTCTGGCCTTGAGTTCCTGCCCTGACTTCCTTTAGTGTGATGTGGAAATTTAAGATGAAAAATCCCTTTCCTTGCCGGGCGGTGGTGGCACACGCCTTTAATCCCAGCACTCGGGAGGCAGAACCAGGAGGATCTCTGTGAGTTCGAGGCCAGCCTGGACTACCAAGTGAGTTCCAGGAAAGGCGCAAAGCTACACAGAGAAACCCTGTCTCG